GAGGGACATAGACAGGGAGGGAAGGAAGGAAGGAAGGAAGGAAGGAAGGAAGGAAGGAAGGAAGGAAGGAAGGAAGGAAGGAAGGAAGGAAGGAAATAAGGAAGGAAGGAAGGAAAGAGGGAGGGAAGGAGGGAAGGAAAGAAGAAAGGACAAAAGGAAGGAAGGAAAGAAGAAAGGACAAAAGGAAGGAAGGAAGGACAAAAGGAAGGAAGGAAGGAAGGAAGGAAGAAAGAAAGGAAGGAAGGAAGGAAGGAAGGAAGGAAGGAAGGAAGGAAGGAAGGAAGGAAGGAAGGAAGGAAAGATGATAAAGTAATTGAGTTTGTGTAATGTTGTCAGGGGAGGCTCACTGAGGCAGTGACTTCATCTGGGCATCACTGAAAGTTGGGTAGGTTCTGAGGAAGGAAGAAGGCAGAGTGATCCTGAAGCGTGAACAAGGAACAGCACATAGAAAGCAAAGCTCAAGGCCTGTCTGGAGAATATTTGCAGGCGTTTGAATTAAACTTGATATGCACAACTGTAAGGTGACATTGGCTTACACTCAGTTGCACACATTGTTACATGACTATTAAGAAAAGTATTCATTTCAGAAGTTTGTAAGCCAGCATATATATTTTGGTTTTTTTGTTTGTTTGTTTGTTTGTTTGGTTGGTTTGGTTTTTTGTTTGTTTGTTTGTTTGTTTGTTTTGTTTTTTGTTTTTTGTGTTTTTTTTTTTTTGAGACAGGGTTTCTCTGTATATCCCTGGCTGTCCAGGAACTCATTCTGTAGATCAGGCTGGCCTCAAACTCAGAGATCTGCTTGCCTCTGCCTCCCAAGTGCTGGGATTTAAGGTATGGGCTACTACCACCTAGCCAGTTTATATTTCTAATCAGTCTGCCATGTGTAAGAATTATATATTTAGAAAATATCCATAATTCTCATATTCAGAAATATATTTGAGGAGAAAAAGCTGGAGACAGAAAGTCACAGCAAACGGAAAAATCATCTGAACATGAAATAATAGTCATCACAACAAAGGATGACAGCAGCAAGCAGAATTCGTGAGTGTGATTGTGCTCTCACTACAGTGGGTGTTACACAGAATGCCAGACGAACTGCATACTACTGGCCCAAAGGAAGTGGGCAGTGAGTTATGAGAGGTTAGGGCTGGGGTTAAGGTTGGAGTTCGGGTTGGGCTAGGGCTGGGGTTAGGGTTAGGGTAGCGTGTTCTGAACCTGATTCTGAAAGCTGAAGCTTGGGTGTTAGATCTGGATACATTGGTAGCAGCTGTGCGTGGGCAGCTGGTCTCCATTTTTCTGACCATCAATGTCCTTGTATCTATAATTAAAACTAAAATAACTTCATACATTTTTACAAGGATTCAACAAACTAAAGTTTACGTGGGATGATAAAGGCAAACACTCCATAATGCTAGACTATCGGAGACATTCCATAAAAGCTAGCAACTTTGACCAGTTCGTTATATATGTTATCTGAGCTGGCTATTTTTTAATATCAACTTGACACAACTCAGAGTCATCTGGGAAGAGGGAACTTCATTTGAAGAATTGCCAGAATCAGATCAGCCTGTGGCCATCTCTGTGGAGAACTGTCTTGACTGATGATTGATGTTAAGGAAGTAAAGTCCACTGTGGGTCATCATTTTAGCCTCCTCTACATGATGAGCTCTGGAACAGCCAGGGGTTCTTAGCAAGACTTTATCAAAAAGAAAAGAAATGAAGTTTAAAGAATTTTTCTGAATGTTTTTCCCTTATGGTTTATGCTTTTGTGACCTAAGGAATTTTATCTTATCTCAAAGCCATAGTATGTTTTGTTTTCCATTAAAATTGGAATTGGTCAATCAGACATTTAGTGGAGTAGGATTGTTATCACCATTTGAGAATTATGGAAACAATATGCCGAGGCAGGTGGTCTGAGAGTGCACTAAATCCAAGCATGTTTAACTTTCTGCATTACAGAAAGAATATAAAATAATGCCAACAATATAGGAAATAGAATTGGAATTCTTAAAATAAAACACAGAATCTTCTGGGTCTGAATTGTTCTGATCCTAAATAATTATGCCACCTAGGTGCAGCAGCTTGTATGGATGAGGGAGGGGCTCATGCAGTTCCACCCCTAACTGAATAGCCATCAAAGATTGCTGTGGGGAGTCAGTTTCCTTTTAGGGTATGGCCCCAATAGGTGCCCACACTGCAGCAGATGACCCTGCACC